TCTTTTTATGAAAATAATCGTGTTTTCAAAATTTAAAGCTCTAGTCTAAATTAAAGCTTGTGTGAATCTAGGGGCAAAGCTAAAGGGGCACTGGGCCCTGCTGAAATTTCACTAGCAAATGAAGTTTCCCTGCCCTGCAACTTGCAGCTTTCCATCTGTCTCAGTCAGATGTCTCAGATTCAGGAGAGCCAGTATGGCTGTGAAACAGTGGGCCAGATCTTTACCCTCAAGGAGTGGCTGTGTGGGTTATCGATGTTTGTTTTTTCTGTCCACTTGTGTTTTGTGGATCTGGAGAAAGGCTTTATGGTGTGTATGGACAGGATCTCAAGGCGCACTCATGGATAGAGGGTGTCTGGTTTGGAAACCTCTCAACCTTTCTTTTAATGGGTGATGTGTTCACAGCTGAGTGTTGGGTAGGTGGGATGAGAGTCAGCCCCTCTAAGTCTGGAGTCATGGTTCTCACCTTGAAAAGGTGGACTGCTCCTTCCAGGTCGCAAGCCAGTCTCTGTCTCAAGTGGAAGATTTATATTTTGCTGTCTTTCTCATCAATGATGGAAGGACGTGCGAAAGATGGATAGACAGTTTGGGGACCTGTCTGCAGTAATGTGGGCATTGATGCAGTGTGTTTTGGTGAAAGAAAAGCTGAGCCAAAAAGCAAAGCTCTTGATTCACTGGTCTGTCTACATTCAGATCCTCACTTATAGTCATGGGACATGAATCATGCCATAATTAGCTTCTTCTGTAAGGTGGGTGGACTCAACTTTAGAGATAAGCTGAGGAACAAGCTCATCTTATAAATGTAACTAGTTACTACCCACCTCTGTCCACATCAACAGGTGCCTGCTCAGATGATTTGAGAATCTGATCAGGATACCTCCCTTTAGAGGTTCTCTGAAGCTGATCTGAGCTTTGTGGCACGGTGCATTGCTGGAAGTATTCATCTGAAGATGAACACACTGAGGGAATAAAAGGGCAAACATGCTCATCAGCAACAATATCAGGTAGGCTCTGGCAATTAAATCTATCTATCTATGTCTGCCCGTGCTCACTGTGGCTATGACATTGTATTATTAGCTTTCTCCTGCATCTGCACAAAGTATTTTGCTTTTGTCCTGGGGTTGTTGGCCACACATCCATTTCTGGGACACAGAACCCCCCTCCTTTCTGAACTGCATGGTGGCGTTCATATCTCTGCCTAATTGTTTGAACTGATAAACATGGCACCTTCAGGTATCTGGAAATTGTAACCAAGGATGAACCAGACCACATTCTCTTCTTGGTATATTTTCTGATTTCCTGATTTAATTTAACGCCAGACAGTGAAAAAATGTTACAAAAGACAGATCAACATATTGCACTTGGTTTATGTGAATTAAGTGACATAAGAGCATAACGAAGGTAAATGTTCATTAATAACAGTAATTATTAGGTTACTGAATGTTGATTTGTAACACCGGAAATACTTTGGGCTGCGCTACATCTTGCAGTACGCAGACTTTGACAGTAGGTGGAGACATACGCCGAAAAGATTCACACAGTTTGTTTTGCCCTCCAAACCTCTCCCCGTTTTCCCCTTCAGGGTACTTATTACACATATTTAGTAGAGGAAGGTGTTTTCTCCATTTATAGACTCACACTGTAATAACTGTAGTTGCTATAGAGCTGAAGTAAATCTGTGGCAATGATGCTGTGAAGGAAGTGGGCCGTGGCGTCCCACGCAGAGGAGGGTTTTCCGGTTAAAGTTTCCTTTGTGATTCGGAAGTAGCACTGTGATGCTGAAGCTGTTTATCCCCAAACTCAGCACAGAAGTGGCAAACATGATAAGTAAGCATGGATATAAATTTTATGTGTTGACCTTTCGGGTGGCTGGCTGTTGTGTAGAGGGAGGAAAAAGCGTCAGAGGGACAACATGAAGCTGGCGGTTAGTGGTAATGTCTGTCTGCCAAGGTGTGCTAGCTGGCTTGCTAACTCGGGCTATCTGTCTGCGGTCTGAGCCTCAGAGATTCAGACGTAGCTGGTTCTGGTATCGGATGCAGTTGTAAGCCAGTATGTTGTTTGCGTGCGGCTTGACTTCAGCGTTTGGCGTATTTGGGTGAACTCCCATCGAGACTGGCTAACAATAGCTTAGCCTCTGTGTGTGTGTGTGTGTGTGTGTGTGTGTGTGTTTTGGACAGTGACAGCTGACATCTGTGGCGAGGCCTCCTGAAGCGTGAATTCCTAAAACTCAAGCCAACAGTTGCCATGGTTCTGTTTTTTAAAGGACACTTAAGTACACAGGGAGCTTTTCGCTGCACAGCATGGCCTCACTGCTCCAAATCCAACAGCACATCAGCATCCGTCAAGCAGTGTGGACTCAGGGGTAAAAGCAAATTGACAAATATTTGATAAATCTTCTCTCGTGTTTTCTCCAGCAAATCGAACCGATTCCTCGTCCTGCTGAAACGGAGAAGCCCGTCTTGATCCTTCTGTAACGCAGGTAAGCAGCAAGCCTGATTGCTGATCTGTTTATCTAAGCCACATCCTTCACTGCGGAGAAGCTGTTGTAATTCGTGGAATTGGGTTTCCTCTATTTCACATTCAAAGAACCAAAGCTGTCAGGACGTGCTTTTACCTCACAGTTCAGTGTGATTGTGATGCATTTTAGAGAGGGACGTGTAGGCGTGTGCAGAGAGGAATGTGGGTCTCTTTCTTCAGTGCTTTGCACCAAGGCATGTTCAGACTGCAGCCTTCTGTTTTTAAGTTGGAAAAATCAGGATGAGGCAACCTGATGTTACACTGAGCCTCTCTAACAGATCACCTTAAATCCAGCGAGTTAATTAAAACCTCTAACATGTTATGCCAATTAATGGCTTGGTTAAAAATGCATTGTTTTGAGGATGTCACCCGTGTACAATGAGTGAAACATTTAATCTGAGATCATTCTGTTAAAAAGTGCTATGTCAAACCTGTTTGTTATTATGACTCATTTAAACCCCTGTTACGTTTGCCTGTTGTTCTGTTTCTTACCCTTCCACACGTTTCATGTTTGTGTGTGATAGATGCTCCTGCGGACAGTGTATGAGTTACAATAACACAGTCAACAGAACCTGGGATGCGTCAGTGCATTGGAAAAAATGTTGTCTCTCAAACTTTTTTTTTTTACAATTTGTCAGGTTAGAGGCAACAAACAAAGTAGCTCGTAATTATGAAGTGGAAGGAAAATTATGCACATTTTTTTTTTGATTTTGTACAAGAAAAATCAGAAAAATGTGTATTATTTGTATCGAGCCTCTCTAACTCAGTACTTTGTAGAACCATCTTTCTTTTTAATAACAACTGCAAGACTTTTTGAGTAAGCACAATCAGGATTATCTGAGATTATTATTCTGTATTTACTAAGTAGGTGATTTCCAAAAGCAATTGGTTGCACTGGATATTGATTAAAGGGGGGTTGAATACAATTGTATAAGACTTTTCAGTTTTTTTGTTTTGTTTTGTTTTTGTAAAAACAAACAAACAAAAAAAAACTACCTGTACTTTGTGTTGCTTTGTCACATCAAATCCCAGTTGAAGTTCATGGTAGTAACTTGATAAAATGTGAAGTCTGCTCTTTGGTCCTGAGAGTTTGTAGTTGTTTCTTTATTGTGTGTTCTCACATGCTGTCTTGTGTGAAATGTAAAGACTTATATGTATGTATTCATGTATGTCAGAAATACTTCAAAAAAAAATCCACAACAGGAGTGAGACTGGCTGTTAGTCTGATAGGTAATTTAACATAACTTAACATGATTTCAGTTTAATTCTAACTAATGGTAATTGTACTTGTTCTATTTTTCTTCATTAGATGTCTTGAGCTGTTAATCATCAGAACGACAAAATGTTTGGAAATGACACTGAAGCTATTGGCAGCTTAAAGAAAGGCGTGTAAAACTGCCCTTTGCGAACAGCTGCTACAGCAACAGTTGGAAAAGCTCAAACATGCAAATTCTCTGATGGCGACCGTAGTTCCTAGCCTTACACCTCGCTTCTCTTTTCTGAGTTGTTTTTCCAGGGAGAGCGTATCATTGGTATTCTGTTTCCAGGAGCCGTGTGCCAATCATTTTTCGCCTAAAGACTTAACTCTGTTGAAGTAATAACTGTTTGCCTGCTAAGACAAACAAGTGTTTCAGATTGTTCTGATATGTAGTTGTTTGATGGTTTTAGCTTCTTAGCTGATTCAGCAGAGCTTTGATTAAAAACTGTTTTCTTTGTCTGGGTTTGTATGAAAGAATGAAACAGCTGGTGCTAAAGAGGTTTCGCCCGAAGATACACAATGTGTGTGTTCTAAGATTCCTGACTATGTTTGTATGCCTTTTTTAAAATAAGCATCATACATAATAAACTCTATGCTGTTAGGTATATTTTATGTTAGGGCCTGTTTTACGAACTGAACCTAAAAATACAGTTTATTTATTATAATGCCTTTTATAATTAGTTGTTTTTTTTATCTTTGTTTTAACATTACATATTAAAACTAGAGATGCACACTTCAGAGATTTTGTCATTTCAAAAATAAATAAAAGCTTTATCCTACTTAATATATGAGAGGATTAAAGCTCTGATTTGTTGCTATGTGTTAGGTTATTAAAGGTGACCTAATATACTTCCTTTTAAACATTTGGGATGGGTCAATGGGCTATACAAAACATGTTATTTCATTTTTCGCACAAAATCATTCTCAGATAATGAGATGTCACCTCCTCAATTCCCCCTATTTTCAGCTCCTTTCAGAACGAGCTGTTTTAGGGCTCTGTCAATCTTATGCAAATTAGCTGTATCTGGCCGCGGCCGCAACTCAATTTGGGGGGCGTGGCCAGGACTTCGTACAAGTGAAAATGGCTGCCAGCAGACTCGCAACAGTACAGCCTTGTATCTTTTTATCTTTTTTTTTTTTTAAGATATTTTTTCGGCACTAGTGGCCTTTATTTTTGACAGTAGGTAGACAGGAAAGGGGGTAGAGAGAGGGGGAGACATTCGGTAAATGTCGCCGGGTCCGGGACTCGAACCCGGGACAGCCGCCTCAAGGACTGTAGCCTCAGCACCATCAGCGCCGCCCCGGCCATGCATCTTTGACCCAGAAGCAGAAGAAGTGGCGCCTCCTGAACAACCATCAAGGATGCAGCAAGCAGTTTCTGAAAGGAAACTTTAGCATGTCATGTTCATAAATCGAAATGTTATTATTTATTACCATCTCAATTAGGATCGCCACCCTTCCCGAACCATACGAAATCTCCGATATACATTTCTGTCACATCCTCAAAAATAAAAATGGAGTCACGCATTTTTGTTATCCGACAGCGGGAGAATATGCATAGGCACATGTGGCTCTTTGCAGCCAACAACAGAACATCTGCCTTTGAAGGGTAGCCATTGTAAAGCGCGAGTAACCAGCCGGTGAGACGGGATCTTCCACAGAAAATCAAGTGGGTGGAGCTCCGCTTCAGTAGCTAGTCAGGCGCAGGACTCAGTTAACGTTGCTAGGTGCCAGTGTAAAAACATAACATTCATTTATGGCCAAAAAACAGCTGAATGTTTTTTTTGCGTTTGGGCTGTTTGTAGAAGCATTAGAGACACAAATGTAAGTATAAAAATGATCAAAAAGTGAATTTTGCATTATAGGCCCCCTTCCAATTGTTCATCTATGTATTGTAGAACTATAATTGAGCCCTAAGTGGCCTCTCTGATCAGTCAGTAGTTATTTATGAGTGAAGAAGTGACATCACACACTGTGTGTTGGTGTTGCACAGCTCTGCAAGGAGGTTTTCATGAAAATATTCTAAAACAAAGACAAAATGATTAGTTGACATTTTGAACCTTCCTTAGCATCTTATCTTAGCGATTAGTGCAGATAGTTATGTATCGTAACAGCAGTCTCTGTATTTCCTGTAGAGTACTGTAAATACACCCTTACCTATAAATGTGATATTTCCAAAGATTGCCAACATGGAAAAGGAATCCACCATGTTCCATTACAGATCAAATTTGACAGAACAACATAGCTACAGTATGTTCAGCTTTCTGATTTTTGCGATATCCAACCATGCCTGATGTCACAGCTTTAATAAACTTCTGACATGTCTCTGTAGGAAATTAAGATTCCTTTTTAGTAGCTTCTAACAGCTTTTGTTTTAACACAGTACCAATACTGAGAATTGCTCCTTCCTTTACTGTTGTCGGCATAAATTGTTATCTCTTATATATAGGTGCATTCACAGGTTAAAAAAAGATCCGATTATTATTATTATTTTTTTTTTGGTTTCTGAATGGCTGATTGCACACCAAGCGTTAAATTCCTATTTCGGCCGATTTCTTGGTGCATCTCTAATTATTAAATCTTTGTTTTATTCTAGTTCTTTGTGTCACTATGGCAACACTTGACCCCCTTAAAGGTGGTGACCCCAGTGCTGGAGCTATGGAGGTCCCAGGGACTTCAGGATCGGCCCCAAGCCCTCAGAGCGAAGCAGTTACCAATGAGCTCCAGGAGCTCTCGCTTCAGCCGGCTTCAAATATGCTGCCAATACAGGAGCGCAAGAATGGTGAGTCTGAAATATTTGTTTTAAATTTTCTTTTTGGCTTTTCTTTCATCTAGTAAAAATGTCTAATTTTTGGAGCCCAGGCATTTGAACCTTGAACTGTACAGTCTTACAGACTGGGTCAACACCCATTCTTGATTAGGGATGGGCAACTATGGTATCATTTCTTGTTATGGTGATACGGATTCTGATTTATTATGGCAAGGATGAACTCTAATTAAGGATGTCTGAAAACCTCAGTATCTCACAGCATGGCGTGGATTGTTTTATTTTTTGGACTACTATTGCAGTGTTATTTGCACACTGACTATATGCAGGAAAGATGTATTTCAAAATAGATAATGATTATTGTCATTCATTTTGAAACACTTATCATCAGTTTTATCGTTAACACTATAAATGCAAAAAATGATCATGATAAAATTTTAAGTCCATATCTCCCATCACTGTTCCAGATAACTTTAGCGCCACTGGTATGAACTGAGTGACTTGAGAACTTCCTAGACTTGTATAAAAAGCTCTCCTGTATTGTGTCTTCCAAAGAAAAAAACAACCCTATTTGCTTGTTTTTGTTTTTGTTTTTGCAGAGCTGGTTCCAACCTGAACAGATAGTTATCCAGATAGTTGTTAAGAACAAGATTCCAACTTGATGCTTTTCATTAAGGAGATTCCTGAAAAACAGAAAAATGCTCAGTATTATTTCAACACGTGTAGTCCCCATCACTCTACATCTTTGTAAAGGTAGATTTTACAGACCATCTTCTTTTGTTGCTCTTTAATGATATGGCTTACTCTTCTAGAGCTCATAGGGACTCTTAGTGTGCCTTATTAGAAAATGTGAAATAGGAAGTGTAAAAAAACAAAGTTTTCTAAAAGGTAGAAAGTAAATGCTACCTGTGCCTTAGTGTGTTATTTGGTTAGTGTTAGTGATTAGCTCACCTCAGAACATCTAGAGACAGGTAAAATAAGAGGGGGTAAAAAATGTATGTACGTGGAGGTCTGTGTGGTTTGAAGTCATTAGAAGGAGGGAGCGAAGCAGCTTCTGAAGCTGATTGGCCTGCACCAGTGCGCCGACCTCCTGCTGCAGCAGATTAATGGGTGCTGCGTGTTTGTTCGCTGGACTCGACGCTCTGCAGGCCTGCTTTGTGTTTGGAGATAGCTAAGCTTTGAGGCTGCATACCAGACTCTCACAGAGCCTTGAAGCAGCTTCCTTTGGTCTGAATCATGGTGAAATACTGGGTCAGTTTGATTAATCGATTGACACTTCCAGTTAAAGCCGAGTTTGACAGAAGTCCCTTGTTTTTAGAGGTTTTTATCCCAACACTTGATTAAGTCTAACTATTATTTCTTTTTGATTTGAACATCTTGTATTCGAGTTATGTTGTATGATTTAGGTCATCAATTTATTGACTTGATGTTTGCAAAGCTTTAAAATGTATTTATCTTTTATTGCAGCAGCAGATTCTATTACAGTCAGTTTAGGATTTTATTTAATTTCCTTACCATCCTTTTTAAATTTTTTTTTTTTGTGTGGTGATAATAGGAACTTTGTTCCTTGTCCTGCCCTGTTTACCATAGTTGATTTAAAGATTTTAAATATTTCTCTGATTATAGATATAGGCAATTTTTAGGTAAAGAGCTATTTTCATGTTGCCATTTTCTCACTTATTGAGATCAACACTTATCTGCTTTAGTGTTCTGGCATGTTCTCTTATCCTTCCCATTTTGAGGAGTGACTAAAAGAAACGGGCCTTTGTGGCAAAGCATATTTATATTCCAGGGAAACAGGAAGTCATGGATTACTAGTTAAAAGCTCTTTGACATTCTGGTCATCTTATGAAATTAGATTTCTTTTCTAAGAATTAAACGGCACCAATTGTTTTTTAATTTAAATGGGATTTTCTTTCCACTTAATAAATGTACTCAAATTTAATGGTTGAATTTTTCAATTTTTTTACGCTGATTGTAAAAATATTGCTGCGCTCTCTGTGATTGTTGCTCGTCTTGTGTGTGGGTTTTTTGGTTGATCGTGCAGCTGTTTGGACGGCTTAGGTCTTAAAGCATCTCCATCACTTGAATAGCTAGATCTGTGGTAGAAATGAAGACATCGGTTTCTGTAGGCGGGAAGGGAAAACGCAAGGATCACAGAACCAGTTGGGCCACCAGTGTTTCCAGTTCAGTGTCTTTAGCATAACAAAGGTCGGTTTCTGCCATAGAGTTTAGATCTTGTCCTGCTGCATGAGCAGAGAGATCAGAAGATTGATTCTAAGCTTAATGTGTAACTTGACCACAGAGACTCACACATCCTTGCATTATAGACGAGCATCGGCCGATGCTACTTGCTGGGCATTGGCTGCCTGTTGTGTTGGAGGCCTGCAGTTGTGTTGATTTATAATTTTTTTTATTAGATGGGGTGAACTAGTTTGTTACATGACAAGTATCTCAGGTAATGTTTCCACTGTTTTGAAAGATTTCAGAATGTGACTACTTCTCACAGGGCTGTATTTGTCTCTTAGACACAAAGATATATTTTCCACCAGCCTCAGGCTACCACTCCCAAATTTAAACAACCCCTTCTCTTGTTGGACTATTCCGGAGACTTTACCAGTCAGAAGCAGACAGGTTGATGCAGGCACTCCTGCAGCTAATCCAGCGAGAAGATGCTGCTGCTCAGATTGTGGGGTCATTTCTCCAGCATACATGATTGTTTGTTTACTCATACAGTTTTTAAGCTTTAAGCTTTTTGACATTTTATCACATTATTGCCACAAACTTCAACGTGTTTTCTTTGTATTTCATTTGACAGAACAACAGAAAGTAGTGCATAAGCGTGGAATTAAACATAACATTTGGCTTTCAAAATGTTTTGCAAATACAAACCTGAAGTGTTGACTTATTTAAATCAAAGCATATATGTGTTACAATGGCCCAGTTAGAGTCCAGACCGACCTCCAGTCGAAAATCTGTGTCAATGCTCGAAAATAAAAGTGTGCTTGTATAGTAAAGCTTTTCAATGGTTTATCTTTGACATCAATGTAAGCAGTCTGTTTACCCCAGCAGGTTAGTCCTTCAGTAATGATGAGTGAGTGCAGATTTTTCATCAACCAGACACGTGTGTGTATGTTTGTGTGCCTGGAGGGAGATGCCTTTCACGAAGAGAACGGGACACAGATGTTTCTCGGGATGTCCAAGTGCGTTGATTGAAGACGTGAAAGCAAAGGTTAACATGCTGGTCTGCAAAGCTTTTTACGCTTCCTGTCCTCCCAGTACGAAACCTGCCTCTGAGCCATTCTGCAGCAAAAAATACCAGTCACGCCATGTTAATGTGACTGACATAGTTGAGAACTCTGAGGTGGTAGAGCTGGTCCAAGTGTAGGAGTGCAGGCTGTAGGAGTAGCCTTACCAGCAGGAGGAGGAGGATGGGGAAGTTGAGGGAAGGGGGAGGTCATGTCTGAAATGGCAGTATTGCATAACGTCTCAGAGGGAACAAAGGGAAAGCGAGCAAAACTGGAAATCAAGTAAATGATGTTGT